CTCTAGTATATTATCGGGCTTTACCAGACAAAGCATGGTTGGGACCGGTCCCTCTGATCACTTGTGGGTGAGGTTATGCTGCTGTGCTTGCTTCTATAGGACCTTTGTGGATTCCAGCACATTACGTTCACCCAGCCAGGGATGTTGTGGCACCAGTCCCTGGACCCACCCAGAAATGGCAAGGGTGACACTACAGATGGCACAGCAACCAATCCGATTCGGGCATGCCAGTCGGCCAGTGATGTGGGGAGATGTGAAGAACTTGACCGCCAAAGCTCAGGCAGTGCTGCAGCAGCAGCAAGTAGAGCAGACCCCCGAGAACCTGTGAGCTTCTGTTTTTGTGGTTTTAACTGCAAATTCTTTAGCCATCATTTGTTTGTGTCTGATTGTTAACATCTGCCCTTTGGCAACAGCAGCTGTCATCCCACCTAAACAATCATTCGAGCAACAAATGAAGCAAAATCTATGGGTGCAGCTGGCTAACATCACACAAAATGATGTCTTTTGCTTATCTGAAGCATATGACACGGAAAATTTGCTTTCTGCATGTTTAGTCCCTGTTTGCACCCCTTCTGCAGTAATTCAAAACCTCACTGAGCAGAATTTTATTAAATGGGAACTTTAACTATAAGGCTATATCTAGATGGAGGGTCACTGCCTATTATCTACCCCTGATGCTATTGCTTTGCACACCCCGGTGGTAGCAATCCCTGCAAATATAACATGTGCAAAAATAGTTAATTGTACTTCTTCAAGTAAAAAACCTCATAGTCGTCGCATTAGCTCACTGTTTTAAACTGCACAGCTTTTATTTATTTATTTATGAGACTTATATACTGCTTTAAGTGCAAGCACTCTCTAAGCGGTATACACCAGTAAGCAATGGATATATATATTTACATTGCCCCCAACAATCTGGGTCCTCATTTTACCTACCCTGGAAGGATGGAAGGCTGAGTCAACCTTGAGCCGGTGAAATTTGAACCGCTGACCTGCTGAACATAGTCAGCTAAAGTGGCCTGCAGTACTGCACTCTAACTGCTGCGCCACCTCGGCTTTTGAAGAGACTTCCTTTCATTTTGGACATGTTTGGCTACCGCAAGGATGTTTTTTTTACATGTGGTCAAGAAACTTTTAATTATATTCCTGCTAATATTAGTGAAGTGCAGTGTTGCCTCAGCTGGCTGATTCCTGTTTTGCTTTCCAAACAACAAGTTCATTTGAACCATTCCCGACGTGGGGTCATGCTAGATAGCACTTGTGACTCTGAGACAGCCTTACTTAATAAAGCAGAATATGTAGCACTGGCTATCTCTCTAGTGGGTGTGCCAGGACTTGCTGTTCATGCTCACCTCAACATCAATGCTATTGCGTGTAACTTAGCAAAAACAATTAATGTTACTTCTTCAGCTATCTCAGCAATCAACCATGAGCCGCAAGATTTGAGAAAGGCTATCTTGCAAAATCGGGCCACGATTGATTATTTGCTTCTGCAACAGCATTTAAGTTGTGAAAGTTTTGAGGGAATGTGTTGTTTCAATATTTTTGATAATTCACGAACCATCCAGCACCAGATCAATATTTTACACAATTTGGCCTCTGATTTTAAAATTGATACTTTAGGATCTTGGTGGGAAAACCTTTGGGCTTGGTTGCCAACAGGATTACTGGGAAATATCCTACATTATTCAGTCATTACTTGTGCTATTTTGATTGGTGGGTGCTGTTTTGTTCAGTGTATTCCTTCCTTTTGCAATATATGTATCAGAGCTTTTAGCCCCAAATCCTCTCCCACATTGCCTCAGGGTCAAGTTTATGCCCTGTATAAACAACTGCAAGGATGCTCTTCTCCTGATTATAATACTTTTACTAACCCCTCTTACGACAATGTTTCCTCTAACAAAACAAAAAAGAGTGAGATGTAAAGATAGGGGTCAGGTAGAGGTCATGAGCACAAACTGCCCCTTCAAAGCCTGCATGCCTCTTCTCTCTACATGATCTCATCCGTTCACATTGCCATGGTGATGTAGGGAAATACCCCGGGCTGGTACATGATATCACCTGGTTCACATGATATCAGCTAGGTTACATCAACAGGATGTGGCAGCCCCTCTTTGGCTGGGGCCTCCTAGCTGGTATATTCTTAAGGATTGGCAAGGGGTTTCACCAATAGAAATGCTGTTGCTATGCTGATGCCATGTTACTTTATGCTATTTGGAATACCTGTATAAAAAGGAATAAACACTGCAAAGGCAGTCAGACATCTTTACACCCTGCAATGACTGGTCATTCATTCCATCACTAACCCAGGTGGCAAAGACATAGAAGGAACAGACTAATAAAAAGCGATCCCCCCAGAAGCCATTTCATGTGGGAGAGAAGGTTTACTTATCCACAAAATATCTAAGATTAAAACTACCAAGTAAGAAATTGGGACCTAAGTTTCTTGGCACTTTTCCCATAGCCAAAATTATAAATCCAGTCACACTCCAATTGCAATTTGCACGAATAATAGGGAAAGTTCATCCTGTTTTCCATAGCAGCTTATTAAAACTGGTCACAGAATCATCCTTGTGGACAATTCCCCAAAAAGTGCCTGGCCTCATTTTGGTAGAGGGAGGGACTCATTGTGAGATGAAACACATTCTTGACTCAAGATTATATAAGGGTAAATTACAATATCTGGTTCAGTGGAAAGGCTACCCTTTGTCAGAGACTACCTGGGTCAAGGGTGCAGACATGAAAGTAGACAGATTGATTAAGAAATTTTATGACAAATATCCACAGAAACCCAGGGAGGAATCTTAACTTGCATTTTTGTTTCATTTACAGGATTTGCCTTTTTCCTTAAGGGGGGTCTGGCTGTCAACTTTACAACAAACCTGGCTGCAGCCATTTCTTTCTTTCTAAGTTGCCACAGGATTGGGAAGGCGATGGAGGATTTCTACAAGTCAAAACATTTTACTGTTCCATGAGAACCAAGGTCATTTTGGTCAGTTAGATAGGGGCTGGAGCATTTAGTTAGAAAGCCCGCAAAACTATTCTATTGTGTAATGTAGCTGATTGCATAGCTGTTGGGAGGGAAGTTCAACTTTGTAGTATTGTTGCTTCTGAATGAAACTTCAGACTTGGTTTCACTTTTGACTGTGTTGATACTTTGTAATAAATAAAGATGTTCCTTGAGGAAGTCACAAGCCTTGGAATTCTGCTTTATTCATTTCTGTCTAACGGAACCATGACACTTGACACTAGTGCAGGTTATACATCCATATTCATGAGGGTGGATCTTTTCACCAAAATGGCACATTTTATTCCTTGCCAGGATTTGCCAAAGGCAAGGGAGTCTACTTAGATATTCTTGGATCGTGTCTTTCATTATGGAGAAATGGTTTATGGAGTTGTGTCAGATTGCAGAAATCAATTTACTTCCAGGATTTAGAGGGTACTATTCCAACTTTTGAAGGTACAGTTCAGTTTTTTATCTGCCTACCCTACTGCTACAAATGGAGATGCTGATAAAACTAATCAGATGTTGCAACAATATTTGACATGTTATGACCAGTGGTGGCCAGTAATCCTGTACTTATAGCCAGGACAGAATTTTCATATAATAATGCAGTACATAAATCAATTTCAATGACACTTTTCCAGGCATTGTGTGAGAGATACCTGAGGGATTTACTTGCAACTTGCAACAGTGTCTCAACTCTGGAGCTGTAGATTTTCTAAAGAGCAATGTGTTATTCAAGGGCTGTTGAAAGAACAGTTAGACCAAGCTAAACAGGCATGCAAGCAGCCTGCAGACACTCATCAGTAAGAGATGCTAGCAACTGCAGAGGGAAACAGTGTGTGGTTATCTACTGAATGTTTAGCTTCTGCTAGACCTTTGAAAAAGTTAGATGCAGTTTGTGGGTTATTTTAAGGTCCTAAAATAGGTTAATATGCTGACTATTCATTTATAATTGGCACCATCTAAATGTGCATCTAATTTTTCATTTTTTGTTGCTGGTGAAATGCTGCCAAGCACTTTATGATTTGTGATCACAACAGCCCCCCCCCCCAGTGATTGTTGAAGGTAAGGAGAAATTCAAAGTAATAGAAATATTAGACTCAATGAGGTGGGGGGGGGGAAGGAACACAATATTTGATTTACTGGAAGAGCTCCTCAGAAACAGAGTATTCATAGGAAAATGCGAAGTATGTGCATGCTTCAGAATTAATAGAATTGTTTCACTACTGATTCCCAGAAAAAACTTTCCAAGCTCCCAGTACCCACTTTGATTTACAGAGCATGAGGAAGAACTAGTGGCTGAAGTGGTTAACCATTCAAAGGGGCCCTCTAGTGAAGATGTCAAAGATGACTAGGCTCAGCCTTTAACTTCCATGCTTCACTTCTCAAGGGAAATGGGAGAGGAATCTTCTAACTAGATCTTCTAGACATTTTGCAGAGAGAATCACCTACTTGAGAAGATTCTTTGGACTTAGAGGAGGATGGCTGTTCTTAGATAGCATTGCAACCCTCACTGCCCAGGTCCCATGAGAACTCAAAGAAATGGAGGAAGGAGGTGGCTTGTTTAAAGATGGAGGTGATGTGACAGAACCATTGGCTGAAGAGGAGTGGGTTCCTCTAGGGAGAGTAGAAGCATTCCAGCTTAGAGGCTGTTCAGGGCAGGAAATGTCTGCGATCAAATCCTTAGGTCTATAGCTTCTTTCTCCCAAGTGAGATGAGATTCTTGTAATATAGATGAACAACAATAAAATATCTACTTGGGCATATCCTTGAGTGGTTCTGGTTGCTTGTACTTGACAACGGCAGAGTATTAATTCAACAAAAACCAAGTATTTGTTTCTTAACTTATACATAAACAAACTACCTCACAGTTTTGCTGTTGTGAAGCAAATAGAGGCAGGGGCATTATGTACACTACCTTATATCGTATGCTTAAAGGCAGGATATAATTCTATAAATAAATAAAAAATCTTCTGCAATGTAAGATCACCTTCAAAGGTTGCTATCTTCTCCACCAAACAGTGGGCCACTTCTGATATCCGCTCACACATTGATCTCTTTCCCATTCCAAAGTTCCGTAGTGTGATGAGAGTAAAGTGACGTAAAATCTTCCATTTTGCATGTTCACTAATAAGACCTGGAGGGATAGAAGTTGGCAGTAATAGACAACAGACACTGCAGCATTTGTTTTAAAGAATAAAAAAGCAATGTACCCAATATTCATTCCCATCCATAAAGCATCTACCTTTCTCAAATAATTTTTTAGTTCTTTTTTCAGAAGTCATTGGTACTTTGGCAAAAGGAAAAGAAATTCAATTTTCTCATGGGTTTGAACTCTTCTTAGTCAGATTATAACTTGGCAATGTTACAAAGTATTTTGATAACTATAATGAACATGCGAACATGAAAAGGATAGAAGAGCTTTTCATTTTTCCTCAGTATTCCTGTTTTCCTGTTTCCCACTTACATACATAAACAGAAGGCATATTTGAAAAGCAAAAGTGTTATTTTCTGTTACTTCAATATATCTTGAAATTTGACATCTTCAATTTTAGCAAGATAAACATTCCAAGCAACATATGGTATCTGATGGCTTGAAAGGGTTTTGTAGATTTGGTACTTTCAGTATTGCAGTGTTGCAACTTTGGTGTTGAAATGTGCCCTAAAAATGGTAAAGACCAAATCCATCCTTCCTTCCTTCCTTCCTTCCTTCCTCCCTCCCTCCCTCCCTCCCTCCCTCCCTCCCTCATTAAAACATAAACAAACTAGGCTTCCGGTTCTGTGCAGCTAGCACGACAACCAAGGGATCGAGACAATCCGACCCCTACGGCTGATTTCTCTCTGGGGACCCTAAATAGGCCCAAAGCCACCCCGGAGAGGTGGCAAAGAAGGAGGGGAGCCCCACTGATCCTGGGGAGATGGTGGTCAATCAGGACATCTGCGGAAAGCTCTCCAAAAACCGACAGAAGAAAGGCTAGCGTCATTCTTGAGGCTAGCCCAAGCTACATGCAGCCAAAGCACTAAACTAAGTGTGATTGTAAACAGCGTGACTGAACTGGGTAAGTATTGATTCTCTCTTCTACCTGACTGATTTCCTGAGAAAAAAAGAAAAAAACCCAGAAGTAAAAAATCCTCCAAAAGTGAGGGGGGGGGTCTTTGTTCCAGCCTCCTCTAAACGGAAGCGGCAAATTAAGTTTAGAGAAAAAAAATACAGAAAATTGAAAGATGACTGGTGCTGACATCTAGTGGTGGATGAAAATACTGCCCTAAATATACAGCCCAGAAAGAAAAGCCTGTTGTCATGACCTTCAGGGCTTTGATTAAACAAAGAGCAGCTGTAACAAAAGAAAAAAACATTGTGGACTATCTATAAAATGAGAACTATAAAAGTTAGAAAAAAATTGACCTTCCTGAATTATAAATATTTTTTAAATTGCGACTTTAAAGTGATTGGCAAAGAAATGATTTTTGGTTATTATTGAGCATCAGAGATGTGCAGAAAGAACATACCAAGAAAAAAAAATAAAAACTTACCAGTAGGAAATGTATATTCTGTTACAACAAATGCAAATGATATTAACTTCAAATGATGAGGAAATCAAAAATGAATTTGAAAATTTAAATGAATGCATTCTCAATTTAACATCACAACAATCAAATGATCAGAAAAAAAAGAGAGAGAGATCATGTAAAGCAGACAACTGAATATAAGCTAATGGAGACTCAAGTGGAGGATGACTTACAAGAAACATTGAACGTAGAAAAGATAACTTGTATTCTAAGAGCACAAAGTAAATTTGAGGATAAGGAGAAAGATTTGACAAAATAGATTGCTGACAAGGCAACCAAGATGACCAGATAAAAAGAAGCATGATATTGATGTGATTATTAATGATATAAATTTTAGAAAAATCATTATATTTAATTGTTACCTATCAAATTAATAAGAATTGTATTAATTTAAAGTTGCAAAGAGAATATTATTGGAAGAAGAGAAAATTATGTGGATTTTGGAATATAGAAATTAACCATTAGTGATTACTTTGTAAATATAAAACCAGACAACACACTGTTTACTAAATATCAGGGTGTTTATGTTAAAAAATCAATAAAATATTTTTTTAAAAAAATAAAACATAAACAAACCGATTGGAAGTAAATTCTATTAACCTTCTATCTGAAATTTGATACTTACTGTTTATGATGTTACTTCTAAAGAAAAAATATATCTAGCATTATCTAATGCATTTAATGCATTGGTTCTGATTTAAGTTTTTTATTATTAAATTTTGGATTTGGCATTATTTAATTAGTTCACTTTTAAATTTGGCTAAAAAAAAAATTGAGGAAATGGCAGTTCTGAAATCTGTTGTTTCTGAAGGAATGTTAAATACAGGTTTGAGTGCCCCGCTCTTTCTTGTTTTGATACTTTATCCTTTAAGCAGAGTTTTGACTGAACTGATTTTCAAGTATCTCCAAGAGACTTAGCTATTTCCCTTTTGTATTCCTTAAAAAGAATATTGGCCACCGTCTCTTGCCTAGAAAAGTTAGTGTTTTTATCTTTTCTCTAGAAATTGGAAACTACAACTCAAATCAAAGTGAAAATAATCTGTGCACTCACCATAGCCCTTGGTTACTTGATCAAGGTTAGGTACTGGAGGTCGTCCACCAAATTCTTTACTATGAGTTACTAAGGCATCTTTCACTGCCTCATATCCACAAATTACAATCATTGGCTTTGTTCCTAACCAGATAGAAAAAACTGGACCATACTTCTTACTGAGCTGAGGAAAAAAGGTGTGAATCAGCAAGATTTATGATCTTACTCTTGGATATCTGATTCAATTAATGGCTGACAGGATCTTTTTCTCATGGTACTGTATTTAAAATTTATTAAATTTTAAACAAAAAAATAAAAGCTTACAAAAAACAATATTTAAGAGAAAGAAAGAAGAGCAGAAAAAAGAAAAAGGCAAATGAGCAGGAAAAAAAGAAAAAAATAGAAATTGAGTTCCCATTTTCTTTTACAACCGTTATAAATCTACATTAAACTCTTAATCTAGGGCTACAAAGTAACTTTTGCTGTTTTTACCATCTATCATTTGTAGTCATCAAATCCACATATAATTTTTTTTGTTTCATGAAAAATGTCCAAAAGTGATTTCCACCGGCATTAAATTTAATTAGTGTTTTTTTTCTCAGATCAAGGCTCTCAGTTTAGCCATCTCTGCAAGCTCCATCATCTTCACCATCTACTACTCCATTGTGGGTAATGCCAAATCTTTCCACTGTTGTGCATATAAAAGAATTGCTGCACTTATCATATATAGAAACAAAGTTCCATTCGTTTTTTCCAATTTTTTCTCAATCAGTCCCAAAAGAAACACCTCTGTCTTCAGTTATATATTCATCTTTAAAATCTTCTAAATTAACATGTGTATTTCAATACAATTGTATTCAGTTTCTTTTACCTACGTATCACAATTGATAAAAAGTCCCTTCATGTTGTTCACTATTCCAGCAAAAAAATCAGAGTACCTTTAAAAATTTTTCCCAATGACTACTAACAACAATGCGATTTATAAAAATTATCCTTAAGATTATAACATAATGTAAAATTCATCCACTATACTTCCATTGTTGCATTTGTATGTTATAACCATTTTTCCCCCAGCATGACACTTCATTCTGTGCCAGTTGAAGCTTCCAGGTGTTCTTAAACAGTAGCCTCATGTAACCATATTCCAACCTGGGTATCGCGTAGCATGCTTGAAAAGAGAAGAGTTACCTTATCCAAGGTCTGAGATGAAACACCCCTAGATCTGGGTGTCTGAAACGCCCTCAGCCTCTTGTTTTTGGCTGGAATGAGTCAGATGTGGTTCCTCCCAATCCAAACCTACACCACCTCCAGGCAGTTGACAGCTTCCTTTGACCAGCTCAGAGTTTAAAGTCCCAAAGGTGCTTTTTAAAAGAAGGCTAGAGCTAAATTTAAGAGATTTGACTCGACTTACCAGATGGTATACTCTATGATTAAACACTTGTTTGAATATGGTTAAAAGAATAGATAAATTTTGGATATAAAGGGGTCCTACAGTAAGAGGGATAAGATATATAAGTAGTATAGTATTTTTTAAAATATACAAAATGTAAAAAAATTTGGCATGGTGTATGTGAATGAAAAGTTTGGATATTTAAAGGCAATTAATTTTGAGAAAATTATGACTGATAAGAATGGTTTGAATATTGAGGGGAAAACAAGCTTAAATAAGAATCTTGAAAAATAGTGACTTAATAAGATGACTTTTACAAATGCAATTGAAACATAAGATGACCAGAAAAGATGTTATAGGTTGATGTTATTGTTGCTTCTACAAATGCAAGAAAAATGTCTATATTTAACCTCGTATGTATCGAAAGTATTAAGAATTATATTTTTTTAATGTTGATAAAGAAGAATACTATTGGAAGAAGTGAAGATCAAGGAAATATATCACTAATTAATATATTGATTATGGAATTATAGAAATTAATTATTATTGATTGTTTTTAAATATATGAACCCAGATAACACACTGTTTACTAAGCAGTAAAGACTATTATTGTAAAAAATCTATAAAATATATTAAAAAGATAAAATAAAATTATTTTGTGTCATAATTTAAGAGACAACGTTTTATAAAATGCTGTATCATTGATATATGATATTGGTTAAGCTATATACAATGGTGAAAAGATACTGTGGATTAATATTATATTGAAACCAAAGCTGGAAAAGTAATATGGGAAACTGTATATGGTAAGTGTGGTAAAATTATAGTATAGACAAAGATGAAAGAATAATGAAATACAGTAGAAGATGGGATTATAAAATTGATGGAGCCTGTGGAAATGGTACAGTTGACCAATTTGCTGAAGGAGAAAAAATATAAAGACTTTTAAAATATTGGAAGGCTCATTTAGATTTCTGTTAAAAGAAGAAAACACTGAATTGATGAATTTTGGATTTGGGAATTAAAAAGGATTAAAGATAAAAATTAAGATGACAATTACTTAATGGAAAGAAGGGTAAAAATCATGCTTCTGTTCTTCCTTTTTTTCATTTATTTTCTTTTTTCCTTTAAGTTTTTATACTTACATTGTATTGAAAAATTCTAATTAACAATATTTAAAAAGAAATACGCCAAAGTAGCACTTGATAGATCATATATGAAGGCCTTGGAGAAGATATCCAAATTCCATGTTGTATCTATACCTACAAAGACCAGAATAATGTATTCCCTGTGATACTCTAGTGAAATGAAAGTTTGACTACAACTTTGATGTTGGAGAAAACTCCTGAGAAAGCTGTGGACCATCAAAAAATAAACCAATGGATCATCAAACCAATCTGCCAGGATCCTCTTTCAAGAAAGAAATGACAAAGTTCAAAATATCCTATTTTGAACACATTAGGTAAACTTCTAACTATCTGGAAAACGCTTTAATTCTGGGAAAGGTGGGAAGAAAATGAAGAGGATGACCAGAGCAAGCTTGGGGGATTTAGAATGCACGTTTGGGAGACTTGAAAGAAGAGGTTAGGAACATATCATCATGGACAAAATCATTTGATAGTATAATGAATTTATCAGTAAACCTGCATCTGGTCAGACTTTCTTCAAGTCTTCTAATGACCAGGAGCTCACTCTGGTATTCCCATATTTTGGAATTCCTTGGTAAACCATGGTACACTCTAGTATTGGCACTCAGGAAGAAGCCAGATATGAGTGATTTATGGCCTCAGCAGAACCACCCATGCTATCCTCAAGGAAAAACTCTAAAATCTTACTGGGTCCATCAACACTCTGAATAGGTCATTTCAACAGACCCTGTTTGCCTGCAATTTAGGGTAACACCAATGAGTCAAAAGGCCATCTGGGAGTGATCCGAAGCCCAGAGTCACATGAAACCCAGAGACACTTCAAGAGTAAGATGGGAAGCATATAAATTTAATAAATAACAACATCTGTCTATGCCAATAGATTGATATCAGTTGATATCTCAACTGTCCAAAGACAAAAACCAGATCCAACATGCAGCTGCCAGCATGCATCAGGCTGCTGATATCCTGAAAGCACCAACAACCTTTGAGATTCTGTTGTCAACTCAGAAAAAAAAAATCCATCAACTCAGGAGGCATGACATTTGGCAGCAGAGAGGATGATACACCAGCAACAATCCCAACTGTTCTCTTCAGCCCAACTTTAACCAGAATACCTCACATTTAGTTATCTACAGAGCTCCTGAAAACCTATAACAACTTACAGATGATAATGACTAAACTTCCTTCTTCCACTGGGCTCTTGGCCGATGCAAACCCAAAACCCAAGCAAACGTATTTCCGAGGGCCCAACCCATTTTCAGTGAGATATTACAGGTATCCTCAATTTATGAACACAACTGAGCCCAAAATATTCATTGTTAAATTTCATAGGTATATGTCTTCATTTATGGCTAAATTTCATAGCTATTTTAAGTGAAATTTCTTAAATCAAAAGCCAATTTTGGCTTACTGTGAACAGAACAATGAAAAGCAGACCAAATATATTATGTCCAAAGCATTTTGCTAGTCCACCAATTAAGTCACTTTATCAAATAATGATATAAGGTTTGCCTGGCATGAACTGTTTGTTTTAAGAATCTCATGCTTGTTTCGACTAATGTCCTTGTTTATTTCTAGATGCTGACAAACCCTTCACTTGATTGTCTTTTTTCAGGATTTTCCTAGCTATTGATGTCAAGTTAATTGGTCTATAATTTCCTGGATCAAATTTTCCCCCTTTTGTAGATTGGGTCCACATCAGCTCTTTTCCAGTCCTCTGGTAGATTTTCTGTGTTACAGGAACTTTGAAATTACATTCAGTGGCTGAGAGATTATATCTGCCAGCTCCTACAGAACCCTCTGATATAAACCATCTAATGAAGGTGATTTGAACTTATTCAGCATGGTTAGGCATTCTCTTACTATTTTCTTGGCTATTTTGACTTGTGTGCCTATACCTTTCTCAGTGCTGCTAACATAGTCATCAGCCACAGCCCCAGAGAAGCAGGCTATGACCTTTAGGACATAATAGGATTAACCCACCACCATCAGAATGCCAAAAAGGACACACTCAAAAGCTCAGGTCAAAGTTCATGCCACAGGAACTGGAAACAACTCCAAACACAAAAGCCCAAGAAGGTATAAAAACCCACCACTCCCAGCTACATGTGGTCAGCTTTCCCAGAGCCACATTTATGTCTGGCTCTGCTCTTCAATAAACTACAACCTTTCTAAAGCAGTCTCCATTTTGTTTATTCCAGGTTTGGACTGGACCCCAATGAAGATTTTCTTTCAACACTGCTTTTGATAGGTTCAGTTATTTCTTCTTTTTGTGTAAAAATAGATGCAAAGAAAGAATTAAGAAAATATGGGTAACTGGTAAATGATTCTTGAATCTCTCATCCACTAAGAAAGAAGCCATATCAAAGACTGTCTTACCTTTGAGTAGGTTTTATACAGAGGGAAAATATCTTTTTGCAGTAGATTCCCCAGAAAGAGCCAGGGCCTGGGGCCTGAAGGGAATCTGCCTCTTCTTTGCTGAAACTGGAAGGCCCAGAGTGTGAACAGAAAGACAATCAACAGTATTGCTGCTCCAGAGATCAGGTCCACCTGCATTTTTATTTTTCTTGCCTTGATGGAGCAGAAGGGATGAGACTTTGGGGTTGGAAAAAATCTGCAAATGAGAATGAGAGAAGCAAAATCAATGTGATTGTTTCTCTAGTCTTCTCCCATCTACTCCCCAAATTATCTGTCTTCTTTTCTTCTACCAATTTTTCGGGAACATGAAGTACTCTAATAACATGCTTCTAACAAATGTTATGTAATTAATCCAATTTTCTAAATTGAAATAAGTATCTTCTGGTTGTGGGTAGATTTAGAATGAAAAATGCAACTAGATGGTATTAGAGGAAGTATGAGAAGACAGCATTGGAGTGTCACATTCTGAGCTAGCAACTGCACTTGATAGATTTCCAGAATAAGAAAATTGTGACAAGGCTTCTGGTCTGCAATCACAGTGCCTGCGGACACGCTGGGAGACCGTTCTTTCTGCCATCTGGTTTTACTCTACCGAAAGACCCTGAAAGGGTCGAAAGTCACCCTGGAGGGGTGACCACCCTGAGGAGGACCCTTGATTGATTGTGGAAGGGCAGGAGCCCTTCCATTGGATCCGAGGCAGCTCCTTTGGGCTGACAAAGAAAAGATCGGCCATTAACATGGCCGATCACCAAGCCGTTCCAGGCAAAAGCCAAAAGCACTACTAAACATGACAAAAGCAACGTGGAGGAATTAGGTGAGACCTTACCTTACCTTTCCTGCTTCCCAAGTACTTTCCTGTAAAAGCCTTTGGAAATATCTTTTTCCCTTCTTTCAATTCTGCGGCTCCTGCCTACTTTGGGAATATAAAGTTAAAGGGGAAAAAAAGAACAACTAAACTAAATGACTAAATATCTGGATTTGTAATTTCTGGATACCTGGGCTCCCAAAAGGTTCTTTATTCTTACAGAGACTTATTATTTTACCTGTTTGCTAAGCTGGAAAAAAGAAAAAGAATATTTCTTTCTTTCTTTTTTAAATGGGATAAAAGCTTAATTTTACATATTACTGGGGACATCTTGTGGCGAAACTTGGTACAGCAAGTGAAAAAAATTGTTTTTGACTGGGAGACTTCTGAGACTAAATTTTATCCTTGACATCATCAAAAAAGATAAGAACTTGAAACAGCTAGGTGGTGAAAATAACTCTCTATAGTGGTGGTGGACGTTCATTGATTTTTATTAAAAATAAAAGGACTATCTATAAATATCACAGAAATGGAGGAATACCACCCACAGCTTAACTTCAAACTTATACTTGAAAAAAAACTTAGAAGCTACTGAGCTAATGAATTCCAGACTGAAAGATATACGCGCCACCTTAAAGCTACAAAACGCAGCCCAGACTTCAACAGATGAACTTATAACTCAAAAGGCAACAGAAGAAGAAGGAATTAACACTAAAATGGACTTTAAAGAATACCAGCTACAATCTACTCAGAACTCTGATACCCAATCCTTGATTCCATCTAAAAAAATCTACAATTTCAACAGCAACAGAAACTGAAGAAAACAACACTAAGACAGAAGGTGTTGAACACTTACATACACAGTACACTGAGAAGTCAGATAACCCAGATGACCAAATATAGTTGTTATATTCACGACAAATATATTAAGCCAAATATGAAGACTCAAACTATCAGGCCAACAATCTAATGACTATGAAGGGTCTAGCTTCCTTGACAAGTTGATAACTGGATGGTCTCCCTTGATTCAAAAGACATATTCAGGAATGAAGGGAGATCCAGCAGAGGATTTAAAGGCTCTGCTATGGAAGCCTGTTTAGCACAAAAGGAAAGCCAGAGTTAGACTTTAAAAAAATGATTTTCTTTATGTGTTTTTTAATGGAAGAGCCTAAAATCTCACTTAATGTGCTAAGGAGATTTTAAAGGACATTAATTGATTTAATATTCAGGATTTAGACCTATAAGGGAAATAAATTAGTTACTAGAAGAATAGTTTTGAATTATAATATAGAAGATGGATTCAGAGGACAAAGGTTATTTTATTAGTGAGTGATGATTTTAGAATGAGAAGTAGAATATGATTGTGAAATAGACTAAGAATTTATTTGAATAAATAATAAGTGTATTTTAGATATGATAACTATTTTGTAATGAACTAAGGGAACTGTGGGATATCCGAAACCTAAATACTATAGAAATTAAGCTAACTGGAATACTGTAATTGAAACCAGGTAAAAGTTAAAAACAGGATCTGGAGGCATATAAGTCAAAAATTATTGATAAATGTTTCAAATGATTGAGTTACAACTAGTAATGTATTAATTTGAATGTGGTATAATAACTAAGGGAAACAGATAGGAATTTTTGATTATGTAAATTGACATATGTATGGAAAAGCCTGTTATTGGACTATGAATTACCCAACTACCATGTTGCTTCCTTAATACCTGAAGCTTTGTAAAAATGGAAAATTAATAAAACTTGTTTAAAAAAGAAAAGAAAATTGTAGTGGCAAAATCAACTGTTGACAATAAAAGGAAAAAGTAAATGAATGGATGGTTCTGTTTTAATAAACCTCTGAATGAGGTCACCTTCTGCTCTTATCATCTACAGCATTATACAAACTTTTGGCTTGCTTGGGCCACATTGAATGAAGAAGAATTGTCTTGGGCCCCATGTAAAATATATAGTTGATGTTTATAAATCACCTAATAATGTTAAAAATTTAGATCTTGTGGGGCTGTATTACTTGCTGTCAAGGGCTACATGTGGCCCATGATCTATAGTATCAGTTGGGCAAACAGTAAAGAAATAGGAACAGGAACAGCAACCCAGCCCTTTCGAAAAAATTGGACTTTATTCTAAGACAGCATAATCGGCAACTGGAGAGTGAGAGAGGTGCAGGAAAAATTGATTGGTCAGACACAAAAAACTGTCCATATATGAAGGTTCAATTTCACTGATTTATTACTTAAAAGCCTATGTGCATGAATCTTCTAATCCAGGGATGTCAAACTCGCAACGTCACGTGATGTGTCACGACGTATTGCAACTTTCTTTCCATTGCTGGCAATGGGGTGGCTGCGGTTTTGCCATAACACATTCGGCCCATGGGCCAGCAGTTTGACACCCCTGTTCTAATCTAATGATCAGCCCGTGGTTAGAGAAGGGTCAATGGCAATCAGGATGGATTGGACTTAAATCATTTGTGGTTACATATTGGTTCCAGGCTGCTCACTCTTTTCATCCTGGCTCTGCCACTACTTGCCCTACATTTGATTACCAACCCATAGTTTGCAATACTGCATTAAGGATGGAATGACCATAGTCAATATTCTTATTTGACACAGAGCTCAGTTCAATTTGATGTTAAGTCTGATTCTGCATAAACCAGAGATTCAGTTTTTAAAAATCCATGAGCAATATAACATTAGGGAAAATTATATTTATGTTGCTATAAGCCTAGGTCTTTCTGTTCCTAATTCACAAGAATTGGGCATATTTATGCATTTAGCAATCTGCCAAAATGTCAGCAAACCAACAAAGTAACCAAAGCAATAACATATTGGCAACTAGCGATGTTCAACCTAAAGATGTGCATTCTTGCCATGCATTTACTAATTATTGGCAAACAACAGCAAAATAATAAATATGCATTTACAAGACAATCTGAAATCTCAGTAACATTATTGACACCATTTGAGGGATGAAGACAGTGCACATACCGTTCAGCAATCTACTCGAGGCTTGTCCTCCACAGCATTAGTTCTAAAGGTTTCCTCTTTGCATGAACATCTGATTTTAAACTGCTGCCCTCTCTGCTTAATCCCCTTCTCTTCCTCTTTCTCCCAGTCAATAGCAGCAGGGCTAGAACTGGATTTTCTTGTTACAGACATCAAAAATGGTGCAGATCAGGACAGTCTTCATTTTTAATTTATGGCTTTTCCCTTTCAGAACAATTGTAAAAATACCCTTCTATCAATGTTATAAAGGTGATTTAGTTATCAAAACAGGTCTTGTGACAATGTTACAAGATGCAAAAGAAAGAGATTAGGTCTAGCTAATATGAAATTGTATTTTGCAGCTAGTTGTTTGGTTTGGATGAAAAGTGGGCATTGCTGAGAAGTAGAAAACTTTTGGAGTTAAAAGGACATGGCCTGAAATTTGGGTGTTATGGAAATTTTTGGTCAAGATTAATATGGATTATAAAAATCATTCTGTTAGATGTGCCATATTGACAATATCAAATAGATATAGACCCAGGTTGCAAACCAAAGATTTTTGTCCCTCTCAACACAAAAAAGTATTTTATAACTGAGAAATAAAAGGTAAATCAAATAGCTAACTTATAGCTTACTAGAATTTTGTCAAGAGGGTTGTAAAAGAAAATCAAGAGATGAACTGGTGGCAGAGGGTTATAGTTGTCAGGGCTCTTTTATTTACAATTATTAGAAAATTTCAAGTACCGTATATGCCGCCGTATTAGGCGACCCGGCGTATAAGACGACCCCCGTCTTTATAGCCGGGCCGCATTCCTAGAATGTCATCTTATACGCTGGAAACTACCAGTATTTCTGGCGTATAAGACGACCCCCGTCTTTGGAGCCGATTTCAGCGCTCGCGGAAGTCGTCTTATACGCCGGCATTTACGGTAGACAAAATAATTTATGATTTTGATTGTTGTAAGACTGAATGGCAAATAGAATTCTGTACAAATGATAAATGCTAGGTGACTAAAATGTATATATTATTGAAATCTGAAACATAATAACAAGTGAAAGAACATGTGATAAAGCAGGATAAAATTGTAGTTATAATGTGCAAATGCAACATTGAGAAAATACTATATGTGGCTGTAAGGACTGAAATATATATTATTTATAGTCTTAAAGGTAATCTATATAAAATGAAGTACTGTTAGTATATGTTATCAGTGAAATTGTCTAGAACAGGGGTGTCAAACTGCCGGCCCGTGGGCCGGTTTCATCATACCAGAGCCACGCCCACCCCATTGCCGGCAATGGCGAAAAAGCTCCGATACGTCGCATGACGT